TAGAAAATGCACTAAAAATACTCACAAATGGATCCTTAATTGTCCCAAAAATTAGCAAATTATATATCAAAATGAAGGCCTTGATTTTAGGGATTTTTATAGACAAACCGCACCTCAAACGGATGCCCCATGTGCCTACACGCGTCCCTAGGAGAATAAATTCTGTGAAAATTAAAAAAAATTAAGTCCTACTCAAGCGATCAACACGTGAAATACACGTGTCGCCATGCAGCCCCTGCCGGCGACACGGGCTGAGTCGGCGGCCTCCACACGCTACCACCTCTCAGGTGGTGGTGTCCACGTGTGAAGGGGGTATGCCACGTGGCGACACGCGTCACGTGGCATTTCAACCATATTTTTTTAATTCACTATATTTTTTTTGGTTTTTGTTTGGGCTGGGTCCATATTCTAGCCCAACTGAATCCTATCCCTCCTTTTTTTTTGCCACTAAACCATTTTTTTAAAAAGGATTTGGACCAGTTGGGTTTGGTCCAATTTGGCCTAACCGGTTCCCTCCCCCTTTTTTCCTTTTTTTTTTGACTAGTTTTTTGTTTTGGGAAAGTGATCAAAACGATGTTGTTTTGATCACTGTTCACCGTCTCCTACCTCCAGCCGGGTCAACCCGACCCAGCTGGAACGATGGGTCAAGCTCTCCTCCATATCTCCGCCATCCGGTGTCTGTTTTTCACGCATTTTATATCGTTTTCTTTGTTTTTCCGAGCTCTACGTAATGGGATAATTTTTGAAGTCTAAAAACTTCATTTTTAAAACACCCAAAAATAAAAAATTTAACCGTTCAAAAACAAACCATACAAATTATGAGTTTCATAGAGGCAGAGAAGCAATCTATCATATCTACTAATAAATATAAGTCAGAAAACAATCATACTCGAGTATAAATGAAAGGATTTGCATAGTATATATGTGAAAAAAATCTCTGGATACTCAGACCCGAAAAGAGAAAAAAAAGAAACATTGGAACAGAAAAGCAAACGCAGGCCACAGAATGACAGTAACAGAAAGTAAACCTATGCTCTGATACCATTGTAATGCTTCGGGCATACCTGGAGTGTTTAATAAATTTAGATAGCCACACACAGAAGTCCGGTTACTGTGATGGAGTTAGACTATGCTTCACAACAAATGCACAAGGGAGAGAGGGAAAAGCCAGAAAGAAAAACTTCAGTGAACAGAGGGAGGGGAAAAAAAACTAATTATACATGCAGTAGTTTTCCAATTTAACTACCTCCACTTATCCCATTCCCATAACCATTCCCACCTCAGTTTAAACAAAAAAAAAGAGTATATCGTAGTCCTTGACCCATATGTTTTGTTTATTTGCATTAGGACCCCAAAGTAAATGAGTTTGGGTCCAATCCACCAAGGGTGGACTGGCCCATTTTCCTACATTATCGCTAGACCAGATAATTTGATTAGGAAGATTTAAGATGGAAATAGGCTGAGCAAGGATAAAGTGAGCTATATCCAATGGATAAGTCCTAGAAATGAGGGAGAAGTTCCATGAGACTGGATTCCACAAAGAGGAAGTATGCAATGACAGATATGACACAAAATGAATGTTAGAATGTTGCACCACGTCCTGCTGCATGGGCCACTAAAGGCAGTCATTAATTGGGATGCTCGTCCCATTACCTATTTTCTATTTCAATTTCCCAACAACTACCTCTGATCCTTAATATAAGACCTCATTTGATTTTTATTTTGGTCCTAAATATAAGATCCCGATCCACTTTGTCTCTAATATTTGTGCATTTTTTTTCAAGATAGTCCTTCTAATAATGGTAATTCTAACCAGTACACTTGATCAGCAAGGATATTTTAGGAAGGACAGCACCTATTTATTACAAATAACTAACTTAACTTATTTCCTTAATCTCCTCAAATTAGTCAACTAACTCTTATAATTAGGACTGGAGGTAGTATAATATTAGCATACACAATAGGAGAAAACTTCTCTTGTATATCCAATGGGAGAAATTATAACATTATATCTTAACTTTAGGGTCTAAGTCACTCAAAATCGTCTCAGACCTTCCTTTTGACATCTTAGAATTTGATCCCAAGGCTTAGTGTTGGTTAGCTTATGATTTGGGGTAATAAAAGGATTATTTAAGTAGTTCGGTTGAGTTATCTGAGGCTTAGAAATACTAAGAATGATGATGACAAGTTATATCTTTAGACTTTTTGAGTAGTCTTGTCATTTTGGAAATTTTAAGAATCAAGCTAATATTTTTGAGCAATTTTTTTTTGTAATGAAAAGTAGACATATCTAACTTTCCAAATATTCATAATTTGTAATTTTTTTGGAGATATGTGGAAGTAACTATGAATTTTTGAAATTAGACTTTTTTGTCTGTCCTTTATCACACGTTTACTATGATGTTCGGTGCAACAAATGTCATAGAATTTTGAGCACCTTCTCTATGTTGTTTGCCTCAAGTTTAGTGCAGCAAACAAGTCACTTTGTGATTTTATAAAATGAGCTTCATACGTGGCTTTTAGTTAGGATCAGAAGACTAGGGCTTTAAGAATTTGATTTAGGGATGTTGGGATTAAGGTTTTGATGATAACAAAGTAAGTAATGTGTGTTTCAGTATGTTGATCGATCATCCGATCGATCAAGGACTTATCGATAAGCTGATAGATAATATCTCTGTACAATCAAGTAACTTAGTAGAAACTTTAATCGATAACTTGTTAGATAATGTGTTGATCAATCAATCGATCGATCATTGTTAACTTAGTTATATATAAAAGTCTGGAGTAAATTATCGATCACTTGATTAATAATCAAGAGGATCGAACATCAATCAGATAAAGGGATACAAATCTCATAGGCATTTATCGATCACATGATCAATAAACAGATTATCGATGAGAAGACAGATAAATAGTAATGCGCTCTACTCATTCTATGTTTTGCTTTAGCCACCATTTATCAATCACTTTATCGATCAGTGATTTATCGATAACGTGATCGAACATTGCTTCATAACCCTCTCTACATGCAGGTACTTATCCAAGTAGCTTATCGATCACCTGATCGATTAGCAAATTATTGATCATATGATCGATCATCGGTACATTGTTCTTAAATCATGGTTCTTCGATCACCGGATCGATAATCAAATTATCCATAATATGATCGATCACCGCACTTCATGTTTGCCTTGTTTTTCACATAACGTGATCGATAAATTAGCTCCTTGACTTTGCAGGATTAAATCTCTGTGTTCTACTTTATCGATCACTTGATCGATCATTCATTAATCGATCACCTATTCGATTAACCTACATAGTCTGTGTTTTTCACTGAACATATTTTCACTCATCATTTATCGATAAAGTTATCCATCATCTTTTTATCGATAAAGTATTCGATCATTATTGCTTTAAAATTTGTTCTATAACACATTGTTTATCGATAACCTGATCGATCAACAAGTGTTCGATCATTTGTTCGATCATGGAATGTTTTCTGTTTAAACTTCAATCAGTTATGATGATTCTCAAATTCAATTATCTACTTCATTCAAGCTTTTCTCAGCCTTCATGCTTATACTAATTATCTTTTTAAAGTGATTCAAAATCAAGAGCGATCTTGATCTTCTTTTTCTCTGCATACCAGTATGATATCACTGTTTCCTTTTATCGATCACTTGATTGATAAATCATTAATCCATCACTTGATCGATAAACTTAGTTATCTGTTTCAAAAGCTCTTACTCTGAATAATCAATAACCTGATTGATCAACCAGTAATCAATCAGTACTTCGATCAAGCATGTCTAGTTATTGCTCAACACATTTAACAACTGATTGATTTTACTTGTAAACTATGAATGTTTATTTTATCATTTGTTTGGTTCTGCTTTAAATCTTACTCTACAAAGAAAAACTTATTGAGTTAAAGTATTATTACAGATTACGAAGAAAAACCCAATGACTCTCCAACGGTTATCTAAGTAGCCTATAACCTACCTTGTCAGAAGCATTAATGGCGAAAACCGTTGCAACTAGTAAAACACTCAACCGGACTCTCAACGGCTAGAAGCTCTTCCGTCTAACGGTTACTAAACTACCTCAAATATAAAAGGCACGAAGAAGCATTAAATGAACAGATTGAATACGCGAGTTACCCTCTATTGATCATTTACTATTACATTTAATACTCTGTTCTTCCATACACCGAGCTTTAGTGATTATCATTTATTCACTCTGTAAGAGAGTTTGTATCTTTTATCATTAATCACGTCTTGTGTGAAACTCAAGAGTGTGGACTCTTGAGTGGGATTGTAACCTTACGGGTAATAAGGGGGAGTGATTGAGAGTATCAATTACTGTACTACGGCACCAGGAGCCCGATCAATCTTGGAACATAGTGGAATACTCAGAGGTGTTCTGAGAACTGGACGTAAGTCAAGTGGTACAGACCGAACCAGTATAAATTCTGTGTCCACTTTCTACGGTGAAATCTCTCCTACTCATACTCTCTATTTCTGTTAGCTTATTGTTTTAAATTCGCAAATTTTTATAACTCACCCGATTCACCCCCTCTTGGGTGAGACTGCCACTAACAATTGAAGTATTTTTGAGCTTTCAAATGAAACTCTTGAGGAAGTGTTTCTAACATCATTTCTATTTTTTTCTCTTTGATTTTTTTGTAATGGCATGAAAATCAAACAAAATAATTATTTCACAGGAAAATCGCAAAAAAGAACATGAAATATATAAAATTGTGATTTGAGTTTTTAAACTTATATAATTCCCGTCTCGGTCATAATAGGAATTATGAAATTTTGATTGAAAGACAAAAATGCCCTTATTTTATTTCCTATGCCCACATTTACTCTCCGACTTGCCTCGCTCTTCCTTTCTTACGGCGATGGTGAGGTAAAAGACGGTAAGGATGATGGTAACGAGTGAATGAAGGAAGGCGACGATAAGCGAATGAGCTACAAGAAGGATGGCAATGACGATTGCTCTGGTTCGATTTTCTCTCCTGACTAGTCTCCCTCTTCCTCGGATTTTTGGTTCTTGTTTTTGGTTTTTGAACACATCTTGCTTTCCAGCCTCAATTTTGTTTTCTGGTTCTTGAAACAGGGTCAGTTGATTGTTTTGGGTTCAATTTTTGTTTTTTTTTTAATTTAAATATTTGTTCTGGGTTTTGAGATGTGGTTCTGCCATAAAGTTTCAAAATTCCTTATCTTCAATTTTGACAATGGTTCTGCGATGTTGGGTCTAAAAACATTCACTTGGTTATATGAGTATGTGTTTTGAGTCTAATTTTATGAGAGTTTAATTTTAATTCAGCTTAGAAAAGCAACAACAATCTATTTCCCGTTCTCTTGATGTTTGTTAAGCTTGATTTTAAAAAAGAAAAGGCAAGTCCAGCTTGGAGGTTACTTGGCACATGTAATCAAATTAGTCCAGGAGACAGAATCAGTCAATTCTATTATGAAGGTAGAATGACCGAACTTGTCAGCTTTTTATGGGTTTAGTCTTCTTTATTTGAAGTATTAAACGTGTTAACGAAATTTAATACTAATATTCCCTTTATCACGAGTATGGATGCCATTTGACTCTAGCCTATTGTGGGGATTGGAGGACACTTTGATCTGCCACCCCATTGGTTAGCTTTTGTAGATTTTCTGCACTTCCCTGAATAAAAATGAAATGACAATGTGACACATCGCCAACCTCATGCCTTTGATATGTTGCATGTTGATTGCAGTTTTTAATTACAGAGTCGGAGAGTGAACATTCATAACAATGCATTCTACGTCGAGGAGAAGCTGCTTCAATCAGAATTAGAAGCAATGCGTGATTGTACCCCGTTATTTGCTCGTCATTAGATTGTAAAGTGTTCACACTTGCTTCCCCCCACCCCCCCTTTACTCTATTCTTTTAATGTCCACGCTCTTTTTGATCCATGGTTGATATTAGGGGACATGGGACATCTCTGAAATCTTGCATGCTTCTATACCCTACCATTCCTAATAATGTTAAGGGTGATTTGTACTTTATAGTTTTGTGTTCAATTGTTCATAGCTCAATGCTTCTACCTCCTCTTCTTTCTGACCTTGATTTGAATTGTCAAAGCAATTTTGTTTAATATATCATATTCAGTTAATTTAGTTGATTGAATATTAATGGTTAATGACTTGTTTGAAATATTGTTTTAATAGCTTCCAACTACAGTTGCTAAAGTGATTTCCTAGTTTAGGTAAGGAACACAAAGGCGATCAATAGAACTGGGCAGTTAACAGATTATAAGTTAGTTCCAAGCTGAAATTACTTACCATTAGCTGGTTCAGAGGCCAAGTTTCTAAGAAGAGTGGCTTTCTTGAAGCATAACCTTTGTGTCACAGTTTATAAATCTGATGAGATGCATCTTGAAGGAGGGTTCTCGAATCAAAACTAACATATTGGAAAGGGTTTGGCTACTTGGGTTCAGCAAAATCACTCATTAGAAGAAGCTGATATTGTTCTTTGGTTAGTTTACTTGATTCTACTTCTGTGAGATAGTATCTGCTATGATAATGATTGAGAAATTCTTAAGTAAAATCAGGTTTGCAAAAGATTGGTTGTCTAAGCCATTAATCAGGAAGAGCCAATGCACAAATGTCTAGGATATCTTTTTGTCAAACCCACCTCTGACATGCATATCTATTTATGATATTCTAGGTCTTTCAATCCATTGTAGACATGATTCGCCTAAGAATCGCTAGTGCACTCTATCAAAATTCCACACAACTCTCACATATGTTACCAATTAAGCTGATCCAGCCTTGAACATTTTTAAGTACACCTGACTTTAGAGATGCAAGTACAATTTAGCATCTTTCAAAACAAAACTAATAATACTTTTGTTCATGATGCAGCAGCATGGTTTTTTCAATTGCTCACCAGCAGTGGATGTACCACCTAGCACAAGTGATGTGGAAGACAAGGAGGGTAGATATTGGCCAATGGTTTATTGAGCCATTAATTACACAGATATTGGGATGGAAATGGGATGTAGCAAGAACTATGCTAAAGTTTCTTTGTTTCTTGTACTTAATAAAAAATATTGTAGCTTGAGTTATGGAAGCAAATTTCATTTATGATTGTATGTGTTTTCATAGCCACTAGCCACTTATTGGGAATTAAAGCTTTGATGGCTGTCAACTTGATCAGCAGAAAGTGAGTTATGTGAACAACAAACCATTTTCTTGTAGATCGTCAAGAGATTTCACCGATTCCTATTTTGTATCAGTGTTTTTATTTTCTTGGATGTAGCTTGTTGTTTGTCTATTGTAATTTATTTTCTTAAGAATAAGGTGGATGCATATGAGGGAAGAAGAATTAAATGTGTTGGCAATTGACCACCCACACAACACAAGTGTACATGGCCGGCATGAATATCAATGTATCCTTTAATACTGTTCCCTTCAAGCCACGGCTTAAATGACTTACTTTTCGGTTTCAGACTCATTTTACTGTTTATAAGGGTAGTTGGCTTGATAATAATTTCTTTGGGCTTTGTGTTATGTGGTTGGCACATATGGTTGCGTTTTCACCATACATAGTTATTCTGTTTTTGCTATATCAAATAGTAGTTTTTGATTTGAGCCATGATAAGGATTATAACAACGGTTCTCTCTAACATGTGACTAATATTTTTAAACTCAAAATTTAATAATACTAACCATAATAAAAAAGAAAAAATCTTAGTATAATCTTTGAAAAGGTTACTACTGTTATAAAAAGAAATTTGATTTGTCAGAAATGGTAACTGTAATAAAAAAGACTTGAACTAATTATTCAAAATGTCTATCATGATTATAAGAGCTTTACTAAATAGATTGTATGAAAACCATAATTTTAATATTTCACAATAATTGAGTCTTGGGTTTTATGAAACTCAAAATATCACATTTAACTCTAAACCTATAACATGATATCTCATGAATAAAATTCTTCCAAACCAACAATAATTAATTGCTTTCAAAAGTCATTGTAGATCTACAACTCACAAACACAAGCAAACCCCTAGAAGTCTCTGACCTTCTGCCAGCATGCAATCTAGCAACAAATGGAGTTAAGACAATCATTCTTGGATAAATCAGAGTATGCAAAAAGAGTTATGTGTAGTAATATACAAATACTCATCACACGACAAAAAAGAGGCTACATAAGATAAACTTAATAGCTAAGCCTCTACCGCTCCCTTGACGAACCAGCCCTAAAGCTATTACCTGAAAATGTTGAATCACGAGTGAGACAAAAGTTTCAATAACTAACAATCCTACTCATCAGGTATACAAGTGAGTGCTTGGGAGGTGTCAAGTAAGACAGTGACAAAAATTATAACATTCATAATTGTCACATGGTTCCACATATATCAAAATACAATATCTCACTCTTAATTCCACATTATTTCCTCACACCTTATTTCCTTTGACTGAATCCATGGGCTAGAACTCGCCCATATGACTGGTAGCTCAATACAATAAGCTCATCGATTAAGTGATATGAACCAGCCAAAATCCACAGAGCACAAGACTGGACCATGGGTTACCCCTCTAGTCCACTAATGGAGTGTCATATGCCCTACAACACACGAAAGGGCCAAAGGATTAACCAATGTACATCTGGTATCCTACCATCTTATTACCTTTATAACATATACAAAATTCACCCCCTTATTTCCTTTGTAATATCCCTCCCATCAATCAATGTCACCATTCCCTCTCGTATTTATACTCATGAGATTTATAAAATAATCATTTACCATAATAACTCTCACATTTACCAAAATCAAGATTTCTAAATTTCAGTAATCAACATCAAACCTCAAAACTATTTCTCAATAACTTCATGTCCTACATGACAAGTTTATAAATTCATAATTTCATAACTACTTTTCAATAACATAAAGTATCTCAAGGCAATTTCAAAAATAATACATTTTATTGCTCAAATCATAGCCCAATGGCATTTCAAGAATCTCATGTAATTCGAAATCACTGATAAACATCATACAAGCATATATAACAAATGTAAAGTGGTTATCTTTCACCAAAGCTATACAAAGGATTACCACAAAGTTGACCCCGTGATCATCAAACCAATAATCCAATAATTAATCTACACAATTAATATAACAACATATTAATATAAGCTAATTAATTAATTAATTAAGCTTATATATATTAGTTAAATTTCTAATTTAATTTGATTTGATTTTTATTTTAAATTCTCACAACTCTCATAATCCAAAATTAAGTATTTTAGAACTAACTTATAATTTTTTAACAAGCCAAATTATTCATTTACATCCTCCAAATTATTTACTTTAAAGAGAATTTTCCAAAATTTCCAAATAGGAAATTATTATATTTTAAATTCTAAAAATCCCATTTGAAGTTTAAACCTCAATACCAAACCATCAGAAATTTAATAGTACCTTAAATATTTATAAATAAATAATCTAATCAAAATTTTAATGGTATAACTATCAATTTTTTTCACAAATAATGAACTTTTTAGCGAAAATAATTATTTTAAAACCTCCAATCACCCAATAAATAAAACTAAACCGATTAAAATCTCAATAATATATCAAACAACCCAAGTAAATTATTTAACTTAATTTTGATCGGTATAAATATGATATATCTCATAAATAACAGATTTTTCAACTAAAAATTAATTTTTAAATACTAAAACTAACAAATTAACAAATCTAAACTGATAGAAAAGAGCTATTATAATAGATCTATAATATTGTGGTTAACACTCATTAAAACTCAACACTTACTCCAAACTCTAGATCCAAAAAATTTCTCTAAGCAACACAAAATTACTATCATTAGGTAGATCTAACTAAGTAGAACAACTTTCATTGAGGAAGTTTTGTAATTAGGAGTAGTTTTACTTACCAAAATGATTTGTAATGATGGAGAAAGAAGTGGGAGAGGGTGACACTGCAAATACAAAGAGACAGGGAGAAGAAAAGAAAATGATGAGGGCAACGGTTATGGGTGGAAACGGGCCAGGTAGCCTGTCAGGAGCCTATAGCCTGGTCTAGCCTGGTCTGTTTCAAAATAGAAAAAAGGTTCAAGCCTCTTTGATGGCCTGTTTAGCCTAAAGGCTAGGCCTAGGCTTTTTTCAAAGCCTGCTAAGCTTGTCAAGCCTAGCTTGGCCTATTTATTTATCTTAATTTAAATTTAAATTTTGTACTTATATATAGTCTTATTTCAAATTTTAATATATACTTATAACTTGTTTTTAATAATATTAACCGTAATTAAAATTTAAAATATTACTTATGACATTAAAATTTAAATAAAATATAATAATAATAAATTATTATGTTGTATGTATATTTTTTTTATTAGCCTATGTATTTTTTTGCTATGCATTTTGAAATTTTTAAAATTACAAGCCTTTTTAATAGGCTTAGGCCGGGCCAGGCTCATGCTGCAAAAAAAAGGCCATAACAGACCATAGGCCTGGCCAGGCCTGTTTCCACCTCTAGCAACGGTAAAAAAAAACATTTAGAGTAAATTGAAGTTAAAGACCCTCGTTAAAACGGAGACAATGACAGTTTGGAACCTTTTTTTTTTTCCTATTTCCAAATATTTAAATCCTAGGAATAAAAATTAAGATGTTACATAGATATACATAGATATACTATATCAGTATGAGATGAGATTGTAGAATAAGGAAAGATTGTAGATAAAGAAAGCCTTTATATGAAGAGCACTATATTAGCATTTCATGTTTTGCAAGAAATTAAATCTCAAAGCTCCACTGTTAACATGTTGTCATTGTCACCATTGCAAATTAGTAGGTTGGGACAAACATGGAAAAAAGTTACAGTTTTGGAATAAGTAACCAAGTAATCTTTTGTATTGCATTAATGGTGGTTTAATAGGTTTACAGGAGAAGAAAGAGAAAGGGAAAGGAGAGGAGGATGAGGAAAGAGAAGGAAGAATAGAGGGAGAAGAAAAACGAAAGAGAAGAATGAAAGAAAGGCTTTTCGGTTTTTTATGCTTGATTTGATAATTGTAATTTAAGACCCAGTCTTTTTAAGCAATTTTCTTTATTCATGTGTGTATTACGCTATTTTGCTATCTCAATGGTCTTTCAACGCAATTTCCCTTATTTTAATTGTTAATTAATATTTAAGGTTTTCCAAAATAATCGAATAAAGGTAAGTTGTTGGCTTGGTGGCACCGAGGCTTTTGCATGTCTTGAGATATCAACTTCGAATCCTGGATGTGTCTAACTGATATTTTATTTTTGCTTTCCCATCTTGAAATTATCACTATGCCCTTTTGTCTATTGAAAAATAAATTTAAATTTAAATTTAACTAATCACGCATTCGAAGAAGGGAAGGTTCTGGGGAAGAAAGGGGGAATGAGGAGGAAAAAAAAAGAGTCGTTCTTCCATCAGTGGGGAGAAAACCATGCTCGTCGCTCCTTGCTGTGTGTCCATTGGTGCGATATGAGTTTATGATTGTTCGCGAGGGTACTGTGGTGAAGTGCCGAACTCATTGAAGTAAGAAAGACAAAGGAGCTTCATGACTCCCTTGAAGATTTAAGAACCTCCACTGCTGTCCTTCTCTTCTTCCAACCCCGGTGTGTGTATTCTTATAAGCTCTGTCTCTTTCTCTGTTGTCATTGTCAAAAGTGTCGATTTTCTCCTCTTCCTTTTCCTATCAGTGTGCTGTGATGGTGAAAAGTAAGTTTGCCTCTTCTCTTTTCTTTCTCTCCAGTGCATCCGTGTATGAAGGTGAAAGAATCAGTTTGTCATTTTCTTTTCTTTTCTGTAATTTCTATTCATGTATATAGCCAGTCATTCAAAGAGGGAAGGAAATTGAGAATTCCTCTTATCTGAAGCGTTGAAGATGAAGGATTGTTTATTTATGTATTTTCATATAATTTTTATAAAATTTACAATAGGCATGGGTGATGTTATAATAAGTTTTGCGAAGAAATTTCCATTAGAAAACTTTATGAAACTCTGGTCAAAAAAAAAAAGAAAAGAAAACTTTATGAAACTATATGGGTATTGATACTTGGGAATGTATGGTTCGTTGTTCATGAATTAAGATGCTTGTTAATGTATGGTTCGTTGTTCATGAATTAAGATGCTTGTTAATGTATGGCTGGTTGTTCATGAATTTAGATGCTTGTTTAATAGTTTAATTTTTGAATGCTCACAAGGTGTTTAATGAAATGATTG